CAGCAGCAGCAGCAGCAGCAGCAGCATCCTCGCACCGTGATTCGTTCGCGTTCGATTTACCCTTCTCTCCTTTCGCTCCCCCTTCCTTCTTTTCTTCCTTTCCTTTTTCTTTTCCATCATTTCATTTCTCTCTTTTCTATCTTTTTCCCTCGATCAAACTCAGCGTCGCGATAAAAATAAACGATTTTCAGAGAGTTCCCTCGCTTGTCGCCGATAATCGTCCACGTCATATCAATCTCGTCGATCGATCCTCATAAACTGACCCGCGCTACGTTTACTCGACGTATGCCGCAGCAATGATTCCTTGTTTCGTTGATCGAAATGGATTACTCGACACGGCTGTTCGGGCCATTTTTCATAATTCTAATCATTAGAATTATTTCGTAGGAAAAACGCTAGGCTTCTTGTCCTAAAAGAATATAAATAAAAGAATTTATTACTTTATATTTGGATAAGGGCAACTGCTGGCCCTTATTCAAATTTTTTCATACTGGCAAGAAGTCCTAACAAAGTCTGCCACGGTCTATCGCGTCTGTTGTAATACGCGATCATTTATTGTTTTCATTCCCCGCTGTTGTTGTTACGTCTGTTACCTTTAGAAACGATTATAGCCATCGACGTTTAATTTCACCGTTTCTGAACGAATTACGTTAGGGCGATCAAAGCTTCAAAATGATTGGCTAGCACTTGCCAATTCGTATGAAGCAGGGAAAGACAGTGTGTGCGGTACTAATTATAACAAAAATACAATTAGTCGATATATATATATGTATCCATGCGACATCCGAACCAATTATTCAAGATGGCGACCGATTCGTGCAAAACATAAAGATTCCGCTACGACGAACGAAAAATATGTACAAGTCCATTGATCAGGATCTCCGATGTTCTATCGGAATCGTTCTTCATCTCAAAACATCTCGCCAATAGTTCGCCAAGCCTTAAATACAAGTGCGCGAATCGGATCGATTGTTGCTTGGTCCATCGAGCCGGAAGGACAACGATGTTTCTCTTACTCTTTCTCGTGCATCGATCGAGACGATCCCCGATTTTATCGCGAATTGAAATTCCCGTTATAACGCGAAGGAGGAAGAGTACGGTGTACGTTCGACTCGGACGCGAAACTAATTCGACGAAGTGCAACTGGTTTTACACGTAACGACGATACGCCGTGCAACGATGAACGTTTCGCGCTTGTTCTCTCAAGATTAGACGCCGCAGCCTCTCCTACTCTTCTTTGAACCGTAGTTCACAATAATTAGGAAATGCATGAAAAACTGACAGATAATAGTTGTCGGCCATGAGTACGATTCGCACGACGTAAACAGTAGAAATACAGCTGTTGGCAAGCCTGTTTGTAGGAGTGGGTGCAACGCCATCACAGACCTTGAACGATTATTTTACTCGCAACTTTGGTTCGGTCGATTAGTTTGGCTTCTCCTCTCTCTGTTTTCTTTTCTTCAATGACGCGAATGAGTCGGAAGAGAAGGAAGATTGCCACGCATCGACTGCGCATTTCGTTTTCGTTTTACGCGAATGCCGCGTCGCAGTATGTTAAACGCGCATACACGTATGTAACGTTGCCTTAAAATATACACAAACGGGAATAAATATGCACGTCACGGCACACGAACCGCCAATCTAGTTTTCCATCGAAAACGAGAAGGATTTACGAGCGGGAGAAAGCGATCAGACGGGGGGGGGGGGGGAAGAAGAAAATTATTACGTAGATAAAACGGCAATATCCCTCGAAGCGGTCGACGAATTCGTGATTATCAAGGAGAAACAGAAAGATGTTGGAAAATTATTGCAACTGTACGACGTTAACGGCTGCCACGTTGTTCGTCCACCGACAGACAACTATTAATAGTCTCACCGCGCGTTATTATCGCGGATCTATAGTGCAACGAGCAATGATTCGTCGCATGCTTATTCATTTTCGCTCGGTCGCTCGGTCGCGAAGAATGAAGAAGTCGGAAGAATTATTAACGACACACTGTTCAATGACTCTCTGGCAATTTTGCAAGCATGCCGAAATCCGCATGCGAAATCGCTATCGCTTGTCAATTCTGGAACACGAGGGGATACGGAGGTGAAATGGGGGGAATGAGACGAGAGACACACGTCTTCTATTTTTTAAATATTTTTTTAATAAGTTTGATAAAAAAAATTATACAAATCGGACACCTAATAACAAGGTGATAAGTGTTATAAACAAAGGGCTAAATACAAATGTACAATTTGTTATACATATGTAAAGTTAGTTGTTAGCTTAACTACCTCTACTAACGTGTATGTATAATGAAAACTTAAACTTACGGACATACATAGGACAAACTTGGACAGTTGTGTTCCTACACGCGTTAAATCCTCCGCGTTATAGTTTCCTCGGTATCTCGTGCGATATACATGGTACGTCGTTTGTCCTTCCGTTTCCAGAAATCGACGAAAATTTACGAGAGGATGATACATACATATATGTATATATATATATGTGTGTATTGGAGAAGTTATTTCTCCGGAAATTAAATACATGCGTAAACGATCAAAAATGTTGAATACAATAAAGAAAACTATGAACTAAAAAACTAAAATGGTGAAACTAATTACCGACTGATTGTTGAAGGAGAAATAGAAAAAAAAATGAATTGGTAAAATGATTGATTGTTACCATTATTATTGACCCCACAACTCTCATCATTATCCATCATTATGCGATCGCTATAGAAAAGATTCCGTGCAACATTTAATCTCCGTACAAAAATATCAACTTTTGGCATCATTTCCTTCTTCACGATCATTTCTCACGTTACACACGTGTACATGCACATAAAATACATACAACGATACAATATCACTTCCTAACAACAACAATTAACAATAACAGTAAAAAACGACGATCGTTTTCACCGTCGTTCGTACCGTTGTTTGCTGCGTCCGTATTTCGTTAACAATTGTCCTTTTTTTTTGTTCTTCTCGTTTGCACATTTACAGAGCCACATACGCGTAATATTGCACTTTGGTGTGTTTGTTTTGTTTATTATTATACATCTATGGGAATAAATTACAGACGCCTGTCGACGATTCGTATACGATTATGACTTTTTACCGTTCGTTAGTAACTAGGAACGTTCTTTCTTTTTTCTTTTTCTTTTTTCGTTGCCCATCGTCGCCGATACGATTTCGCTGTCAACGATTCCTTCAATCATGCAGGAAGAGAATCTTTCGTGTATAGTGGGAACACGTTTCATTCGAGGAATATTCGTTGAGCAAAAGCGTACGCGCGCGTAATTTCGTTCCGGTGTGAACGAGAAAAAGAAAGACTAATTCGATGGTGGTCACAAGCTCCAAAAACGGCACGTAACGAATATCGATGGAGATATGCAAGATCCTTAACGGCATTCGGTCCTATTATTTTCACGCAACCTACGAGAAGAGACACGAATCGTCGTGACAAAAACCCACTGCAAATTCTTCTTTTTTGTTTTTATTTTCTCGTGACTTGTTTCGGTGATTCGCGTTTTGGCTTGTTTCTTCTTCAACTTTCGACAACTGATCGAGTATCGGACGTAGCTTCACACTGAAATATATTCTCACAGCCTATTGAATTACAGAGCGGAGAAGGCACGATCGAAGTGAACAGGACAGGGCAGGAT